CGCGTCGCTGTGACGTAATCGGCCTTAAAATGCGGCCTTTAAGGCTGCAGACCCTGAATTGGGATACAGCCATGTTGTCTTGTCCACGTTCTTTTAGGTTTCCTGTTTTACTTTGAAGGGTCTGCTGTTCCATGTTCAGTGTTCCCTGCTGTTCAGGTTCATTTGTGTCAGCTGTGTTTCTTCAGGTGTTCTCACTTCCCTCATTGCCCTCCTGTGTATCGTCTTCTGTCTTCCTCTGTTCAGCATCGTGTTCTTCAATTCGCAGGATTATTTTCAAGCTTCGGTTCAGGTTCATGTCATCGTTTGCTTATCAGAGTTCTTGTTATAGTTCACCTTTGCTTTTTGTGTTTCTCATGAGCCTGAATAAATGGCTCGCTTTTTAACTTTCGTCCTGTCCTTTGTGTGTCTGATTTTGGGTCCACACCTTAAACACACCGGCCATCCTGGCCATAACAGATGGTTTACTTCAGCAGCTGTTGGATCATATATGGTTTATAAAACATGGACACTTTCTCCAGTTCTTTGAGTCTCACCGTTAGTGTTTTGTCCACTCCAGTTCTGTGTTTTCTGATTTCTAAGTGATTATATTTGCTGTATCAAATCTAACACTAGTTCTTTACTAATTTGGGGTCGCTGATGTCATAAATAACACCCGTTGCAGATGTGACACACGTAAACACGATCGCGAAGCTTTCATCTGCGAATGCTTCACTTATTTTGGTTTGAAACCAGAAAACCAAGACGACCTGTGACACCTGATTCAGTGTGTTGGGCGTGTGTGGATAACTTGATGGTGATGTTTTGCCTCCAGATGCACATTATTCTGGTGATGAAGACTTTGAAGATCCATCCCCTTGGAGCTCATCAGTTACTCACTTAGCCAGAGTTAAATGACTGAGTATGAGATCTGCCAGAGGAAGCAGCTGTCGGCTCAGTGAGAGTAACCTCCTGCCTCCAGGAGCCAAATTTGCTTTTTACAGGCATCACAAGACCGATCTTAATCCAGTGTTTGAAATGCACGATGACCTTGTGTGTGTTGTTGTTGT